CTTCTTGTCTTTGTTTGGGGCCCTCTGGGGCCGCCGAGAGGGGGCAGTCTTTGGGGTCCCCTGGGGCCCTCTTCGGTTGCCCTGGGTTATGATGTCCCAACCTATTCTAGCCTTGATCACCAGAAAGAACTTCGAGCACCTAGAAAGTACCGAAACTGGAGGGATTTCACTTGTCTCGGGCCCTGGGAGGCGATACTCGTTCGACACTGTTTCGATACTTTTCCTGGGTGCTCGAAATTATTTCCAGGATGTGGTCCCTAATTGCGAGGGGGGCGACAGAAGTCTTGGGGTCCTCTTGCGCCGTCTTGGGGGCCCTCTCTCCCCCGCCCCCCCCCCTCGGGCGATCCACGGGGCTGCCCCGGGACGCGGGGGCGAGGCCGTCCGCGTCCCTGGTGAATGCGCTCGGGAAGGCTCCGGGAAGCAGTCGCGGAGGCGCCCCGCAGTACGCTCTGCGACCTTTTGGTGCCCCCACACACGTTCGAAGGTCCAGTCGGAAACCACCCAAAGTCGGGGCATCCCTCTGGCGATGTGGCCCTCGGAAGGGTCCTGTGTCCTCTCGCGTGTCCTCTCCAATCCGCCCTTGTTGTGCCACGTCCCCACTTCGTCGCGTTGCGAAACAAGTCACGACGGGAGGCTTCTGGCAATTTTTCCGGTCTCCGGGGGCCCCCGCCGGGCCGCGGAGGGCCGAGGAGAAACGGCTCGGGGTGCACAGCCCGGTTTGGGTCTCGGGGGGTCCGCATTTTGTGAGCACATCGCGACGTCGGAGATTTGGGCACCTTGTGGTGAGTCAGTGGGGATTCAGGGTGGTCGCACGGTCTTGGAACTCGAAGGAACAAAAACGCCATAAACATCGGGTTTCTTGGATCCGCGCTGGGCCCCCCCCAAGCGGCGCCTCCAGCGCCACCCCTGGCGCGCTCCGCGCGCTGCGGGGGGGGGGCCAGCGCCGATCCAAGAAATTTGCGCTGAGCGCCAAAACTTTATGCTTGCTCTTAGTTTCATAAAGCGTCGGGGGGCGTCACCCCGGCCGACAGCCCCGCATCGACCCCCGTCGCGGGCAGCCACCGCGCGCCGAAGTCGCTCCGACCCCCGTCGCGGCGCGACGCCGAGGCGAGGTTGACCCCCGTCGGGGGGGGGTACCCCCCCACGCTTATCAAGAAACCCAGAGTATGTCTTTTTTTTTCCCTCTAGATTCCGATCGTCCTCCGAGGGCGTCTCGGGCGACTGGGGCCTCCAGGGTCCCAAGATGGCGCGGCCACGGACCGTGCTTGGTGAGGTCTCTCAGGGTGCCGAGGTCGCCGCGCGGACCCTGTCGCCGCACCGTTTTTCGGGACCCTCGAGGCCTCTCCCTTCCTGGGTCTAAGCCGGGCGTTTCCCTCTTCAGGAGGAATTTTCAAAAATAGTAAAAATAGTTTGGGGACGATGTTTCGATATTTTTTCTGGTGTTTTGGGGCATTTTTTGGGTATTCTTTATTTTTCGTCCAAAATCGGCCTCTAGGGGGACATGCCCGACCTGACCCTGGGTCTGGAGGTCCCGGGCACGGTGGAGGAAGCCGCGCCCGGGCAGATCAGGTCTTCCAGCTCTTTGGAGTACGGCAACGTCTTCGACTGGATGGGCAACTACCCGGACGTGGTTGGCCTGCACTACGGCCTCGGCTACAAGGAGCCCCGCGGAGCGATGACTTCGCCGGCGCCGGCGCAGAGCCACACCGCTGATTCGGCACGTGCGCGCGCGGTCGTGGCGCTCGCGCGCAGGAACGTGCACGCATGCTGCGAGAGGGCGCGTGAGGCCGCCCCGTCTGTCGCTACCCACCGAACAAGCCCAACCCAACCCGAAGGCCCCAAGCCGCCCTCCGTTCCCAGTGTGGGGGGGTGCATCCCAGAGCATCGACACAAAACACACAGACGGAACCCGTACACACCCCGACCCGAAATTTGGGACTTGGGGCCAGGTCCGATGATCCTCAGGACGTGTGTTAGGCCAATGTGTGTTTGCACCCTTCAGCCCCACCCGCAGATCATGCCATCGCCAGCATCGTATGGAACGGTCTCGGTGGACAAATACACGTGAGCGCTAACACACGTAGCGAGGATCATCGACAGGTTGGGGTGGCCTGGTAGGCAGCCAGGGCACGGTGCACGGAGGAGAAGGAGGAGAAGGAGGAGGAGGAGGAGGTTGAGGAGGAGGAGGAGGAGGAGGGGGAGGAGGAGGAGGAGGAGGAGGAGGAGGAGGAGTAGGAGGAGGAGGAGGAGGAGGAGGAGGGAGGAGGAGGAGGAGGAGGAGGAGAGGAGGAGGAGGAGGAGGAGGAGGAGGAAGAAGAGGAGGAGGCTGGGCGCCCTGGAGGTCCCTCCGCCGCGCCGCCCCGCGGAGCGGTCGAGGCGGCCGCTCGCTGCCGCGCTGGGCTCCCGCTGTCGGCGGCGGCGCCCCCTCTCCGCGGGGGCCCGCTGGGCTGTGCAGCCTGCGGTGCTCCTTCGCAGGCGAGTTCTCTCCCCACAGGTTGGGGTGGCCCGGTAGGCAGCCAGGGCACGGTGCACGGAGGAGAAGGAGGAGGAGGAGGAGGAGGAGGAGGAGGAGAAGGAGGAGGAGGAGGAGGAGGAGGAGGAGGAGGAGGAGGAGGAGGAGGAGGAGGAGGAGGAGGAGGAGGAGGAGGAGGAGGAGGTGGAGGAGGAGGTTGAGGAGGAGCGCTGCCGCGCTGGGCTCCCGCTGTCGGCGGCGGTGCCCCTTCGCAGGCGAGTCCTCTCCCCGAGGTCCCGCCCCCTCAGGATTACTCCGAGTTTCTTAGTAAGCGTCGGGGGGGCGTCCCCCCCCCCCCCCTGCCGATTGCCCCGCATCGACCCCCGCCGCGGGCAGCCACCGCGCACCGAAGGCGCTCCGACCCCCGTCGCGGCGCGACGCCGAGGCGAGGTTGACCTCCGTCGGGGGGGGACCCCCCACGCTTATTAAGACACCTAGAGTAGGCCGCTCAGGACCGGGGGGGGCGGACTCGGGGACACCCCAAGGCGACCAGCCAGACGCACCCCCATGGAGGATGGGACCCCTCAGGATTGGGATGCTCAGGACCGGGGGGGGGAACTCGGGGACACCCCACGGGGACCAGCTGGACGCAGCCCCATGGAGGCTGGGACCCCTCCCCCCACCTCCTCGAACATCCCCGAGCTGGGCCAACTGTTTTAGGTCCAGCCGGAAGGCCTCAAAAAGCGGGGGATCGGGTCGCCATGCCCCTTCTCCTCCTCCTCCTCCTCCTCCTCCTCCTCCTCCTCCTCCTCCTCCTCCTCCTCCTCCTCCCTTTCCTCCTCGTCTCCTCGTCCTCCTCTTCTCCTCTATGCCTCTTCTCCTCTATTATTCTTCCTCTCCTCCCTCCTCCTCTCCCTCCTCCTCCTCGGCCGCGCGGCGGCGCGGGACGGCCGCGCGCCGCGCGCTCGCGCGAATGGAGCGCGCGAGGTACGGGTGGGGGGGCACGACGCGTGCCACCCCCCCCACCCACCCTAAGAACTGCCCCAAGAGCTGTCCCCTCATCCCCCTCTCCTCCTCCTCCTCCTCCTCCTCCTCCTCCTCCTCCTCTTCCTCCCTCCGCCTTCTCCTCCTCCTCCCTCCTCCTCCTCCTCCTCCTCCTCCTCCTCCTCTCCTCCTCCTCCTCCTCCTCCTCCTCCTCCTCCTCCTCTCCTCCGCCCGCCCGCCCGCCCGCCCGCCCGCCCGCCCGCCCGCCCGCCCGCCCGCCCGCCCGCCCGCCCGCCCGCCCTCCCGCCCTCCCGCCCTCCCGCCCTTGCGGGGCGCTGCGAGGGCCTCGTCTCTGGAGGCGCTCGCCCTCTCCTCGCCCTCGGCGGGGGCACGCCCGCGGAGGAGGGCCGGGGGGCGGAGGCGGAGGCCGACAGGGAGGCAGGACGGGGCGCAAGAATCGGGCGATAGCAAACATGGATCAAGGGGGCGTGGATTAGCGATGGGTCCCGTTCCCACGGGAAATCGTGGATTTCCGCCGCCGAGCGAGGCGGCACCAGCTGCATTTTGGGGAGGGCACCTCCCCCGATCCATGGATTTGGCGACCGCGCGCCAAATACATGGATCGCTAATCCATGTGTTTGCACGCCCCCGCGGCAGCGCCCGGCACTGCGCGGCTTCTGTGCCGGGCGCTGCACCTTGCCGCCTCGGCGGCCCCGCTCGCCATGGCGCTGTGCGGCTCAGGCCTGGCCCCCGGCCACGCGGACGTCAGGGCATCGTGTGTGGCACCTGCCCGTCTTCACGCGCTGGCTGTGCAGGTCAGATTTCCTCCCTGCACTCCACCGACATCCTGTCGGACACGGGCGGCCCTCGTCTCTGGCCGCACCTCTTGCTGGCTGCTTCCTGGTCGTGGAATGGACTACCACCCCAGGCCGCTTCCGCACCATCTGGTGGCACAGCGCTGCACATCGCCTTCGTGGTGCTCCTCTTCCTCCTGGGCCTCCTCCACACCATTCGGTGGCACAACGTTGCTCATCGCCTTCATGGTGGTCTTCTCCCCCCTGGACGTCGACCTGGTCACGTTGCACGTCCTCCTCCGCAGCGCTTGAGGCTGGTGTTCACGAAGTGCCGTTGACGGCAACACCGCATCGCTCACCATCCGGATCTTCGCTTCCGGCTCCTGTCCACGCCGTACTTTTTCCTGTGCAAGCTCCTCGGCGCCGCGTGCACCCCAGGCCCCGCCTTCTTGGCCGCGTGAGGCCCCGCCCGCCTTTGCCCTGTCTCCCCAATTAGAGCTGTGCGTAGCCCGCCTAACTTTTAGCGGAAAAGGTTCGCTCTCGCCCCGCCGACCAAAAAGTGTTTGCACGCCCCCGAAAGAAGGGGGACTCAGGGGTGGACAGAACCCTCACCCTGACGCGTCGATTAAATAGTGAATTGTCCGTCTTCGGTTCTTGGTGGGGCGCTGCGGCCGTCATTTTCCAGGCATGCGCCCTCCAGGCTTGCGCCCTCCGGGCGGAGTGCAAGACCAGGGGAACGAATACTGACATAAACATAAAAAATTCTTCACGCTTCGCGTATCCCCACCAGCCCATCTCAAAACAGCAACTCGAGCGAAGCATGCCGACAGTCGTGTTTTTCAGGCGTGTTTCCGCCTGCCCCCGCATATCTCCCCTGTTCCTCTTTCCTCCCGCCTCCTTGTACATCCTCCTTGTGGTGGGAGCGGGAGAAGGACGAGGCGGAGGAGGAGGGAGAGAAAGCGCCCCTCGTGGTTTGAGTCGTTCGGGCTTCTCGTCCTGGTGTGAGTCGTTCGGGCCCTTCTTCCTGGTGTGAGTCGTTCGGGCTCTTCGTGGTGTGAGTCGTTCGGGCTCTTCGTCCTGGTGTGAGTCGTTCGGGCTTCTCGTGGTGTGAGTTGTTCGGGCCCCTCGTCCTGGTGTGAGTCGTTCGGGCCCCTCCTCCTGCCCGTCCAGAAACGACGCCCAGGCGAGTAGAGGGTCGTCCTGATGGGCTTTTCGGCGTCTTGGGTGCCTCGGGGGGGCCTCTTTGGGCCGTTTGGGATCCTCTTGGGGGCCTCCTGGGGGCCTCTTGGGGCCATCTTGGGGCCTCTTGGTGCCTCCTGGGCGCTTCTTGGGGCCATCTTGGAGGAAATCGATCAAAGAAGAGGGGAGCTTTAATTAGCGCTGCCCCCTCAGAAGGCCAAATGGGGCCAAAACCTTAGTACAATCAGTGATTTTGGCTTGAAAGAAGAGGGGAGCTTTAATTAGCGCTGCCCCTTCAGAAGGCCAAAATGGGGCCAAAACCGTAGTAACATCAATGATTTTGGCTTCAAAGAAGAGGGGGGCATTTTTCTGCCCCCCCCCGTCGGGGCCAGAATCCTCGTGAGGGGTGTCGTTTTTTAGCCCTCCCAGGAGTCGAAAAAGACCCCTCCAACCACCCGCGGGGCGCCCTCTCCAGGCCCAGGGGGAGGGGGTAGGGGGAGGGGTAAACCCCTCCCCGAAGGGGAAGAAGGGGGTTGAGAACAGAGCGGGCTCTCTAAACCACTCACGCCCAAAGGGCTGGTGGGATTTTGGACGCTTCGCGTAACCCCACCAGCTCACCCAGAGACGATGCCCAGAAGAGTTGCCTCGATCAGGGAAGTGGACAGCACGCAGAGGAAGGGTTCCTCTTGGAGCGTTCTTGGGAAACTCATGGGCGCTCTTGGGGCCGTATGGTTTTTTTTGGGGGGGCCTCTTTTGCGTCTTGGGGGCCTCTTGGCGGTCCTGGGGGCCTCTTGGAGCGTCTCGGGTGCCTCGGGGAGCCTCTTGGGGCCGCTTGGGGGTCTCTTGGGAGCCTCTTGGAGGCCTCTTGGGCGCCTCTTGGGGCCCTTTCAGGCGCTCTTGGGGGCCTTGGGAGCGCTCTTGGGGCCATCCTGGAGGATATCGATAAAAAAGAGGGGAGCTTCTTTTATCGTTGACCCTTGCGAGCCCCAAAAGTCGCCTCTTGGGGCGCTCTTGGGGCGCTCTTGGAGCGCTCTTGGGCGCTCTTGGGACGCTTCGGGACCGTCAACAACCCTGACCTTCCAGGAGTGCTAACAAGCAGCACCAGGACCTCGGCACCTCGACGTTTCAGGCTGTCCAGATAGGTCTACAGGTCTGGAGGGCCATTTTCTAGCACTCTGGAAGGTTAGGGAAAAACGACTCGCGGTGAAAAACCGCTCCCGGGGAAGGGGTCCAGACCTCTGTGGGCCGACG